CTGCGTCCACTCTTCACCCTGTTCATAAGTCCTAACTCATCTTCACTGAGTTCAATATGTATACAGAATGCTATCTATACTGATCCTTTACTTGCCATCTGTAGCAACTAGACAGATCAAATATGATGAGAAAGATGCTACAACGCAGGTGTGATGACAGAAGGACCAGCATGATAGAAAGACACTATAAAGGAAGAGAAGATTGCTCACCTATATCAAAAGATTCCAGGTTTGCAGGGGAAAGCTTCACAAAGGAGGGATCTCCAACCAGAGACCCTTTTCCAGTAGCAGTCAGCCCTTAAATGAGGTCTCAGAGACGTGCAGCCAGGCTCCACCCCTTCTGGTCACACAGCTGAATTGCCTTCACCTGTGCTCCCAGGGCTGACCTTTCCCAGGTGCTCAGTCAGTGGTTCAGGCCAGCACTCAGCAGTTTCCATATACCTTTGCACACACCTGGGGAGTTTGCAGCTCTTGACAATTTTTTCTTTTGGCTTCAAGTTGCCAGAAGGAACCAGGTAGGGCTGGAGCAGCTGGCAAGAGCCAGTTTGCAAAGGCCATGTGTAATAAGGATATACGCAGAAATTCTATCTTCAGTGCTGTGGTAGATGTATACCTAAATAGATGTTTTGTTTCTGAGCAACGGTATTAAGATCAGAGGGGTTTCAGTGAACTTTTTTTTTAGTGCTTGTAGTTGATATTATGGTAAATTATGGTATATATAAATCTGAAAATCTGAAACAACTGTAGCATCCCTTCAGCTGAGACTGAATAAGTGACAGCTTCTGATGAACGTTCTTATTTTCAAATGCCATTACAATCATAGCAATAGAACACGAACCCTGCTATGCTGCTTGTGTTTAGCATTCTGTCTCTTCCTAGCACTGAAAGGCTCCATCAGCTCTCACCCGTACCAACTCCAGTATCACTGTATTTCTACAATCTGCAATTTATTTCTCACTTTAGTTCAGACTTGTCACCAGGGAGCAACACAAAGCTGACACCCAACATCCAGAGCTCAGCTCATTCTCCTGGGACACCCTCACCTTGCAAGCTCTTCTCCTTCATCACCCGTTCACTACTGATTGGGACTTGGTGCCCCGTGTTCTAGCCCAGAAGACTCACGTTCAGCCACAGAGAGCAGTTGTCAGGCTTTCTAAGTGTGCTGATCCACCTGAGCCCTGCCAAACCTCTCCAGAGCAGCCCTGCTGGATGCACTGCTGCCAGCATTCTGTTGAACTGTAGCTTTACATGCAGTGCTTTCTTGCTGGCTATTTAGTTACTGCTGAGGAAGATGAACAGGTCTTTAATTAAGGTCTTCTGAGCTGCTGTCATTTGGAATATTTCTGATGAAATGACTATTGCTTGCTATCACAAGCTGTGCAAACAAATCCAAAGTTAGTTTGAAGCAGTGGAGCTCCAGCATATTAACAGGAGATGGTAATAATGCTGCTAGACCTGCAGCTGGTCAGCTTTGATATCAGCCAGTTTTTATAGTTCATTCCAGAGATATCTGCTATGCACTGCTCATCAACAGCTGTGCTGAATCATAATTTAGAAGTGCGTGCCAAACTCACAGATCTGGATACACCCTGCAGATGTCACTCTTGCAGACATTTGGTCACAGCTTTGGCTAATAAGCTTAAAACTATATGAAGAAGCATTGAGCAATGTAAGTATTTTCAGTCCATAGAAGTGGAGTGGTTTTTAAATGTTTGCCAGTTTTACAGTATTGGATCTTTTCAGCTCTACCAACAGGGAACTCAAGTGAAAAACAGAAGTGGGAAGACGAATGATGCTCTACAGAAAGTGCACAGGCCTTTTTCTTTTGCAAAATGCTTGTTCTCCCCTCCCCCAGTAATTTTATCAAAATGAAGCTTTACACAATACACAACCTGTGTATTTCAACATAACCTAAAAAAAAACCAAGAAAATGTTTTACCTCAAAATTTATGTTTGAACTTTTATCCGCAGATGATTACTGGAGGCAGAAATACAGTAAAGATGTTTTAAGTCATGTCCTTCTATAAACTAATTCCCTCCCTCTAATCAAGGAATATAATGGTATAATATCATACACCAGATGACATGAATTCAAATCCCTGAGTGGTTTCCATGGCAGCATTTTCGAATAAGTTTCACCGGCAGTTACAGACAGCATAGAAGAAGCACAAATGAGTATTAGGTACTGAACTGGAATACTGGAAGTGATGCAAGTGCTGTTTAACCAGATGCAGCCCGTTAAACCTTTGATTTTTTAAACAGCTGCGGGTGATCCGGGGGGGTTTGTGGGTTTCAACTGAGATATCCCTAAAACTTATTTTTGCCACAGAGGGAAAAAAAAATTAAAAAAAATCAGAGTTATTCTGCCACTGCATGCAGTTGTCACAGATCATTAATGTACTTTATGACTCTCCCCAGGATAATACCATGGTATGGATTCGTTCTCCTTTTGGCTCAAAAGAAAGTGCTCTGAACAGCCTTATCTTCACTGCACTTGTCCTAGCTGAGGTTACAGTCCTAACTGCTGCAGTTGAAATCAAAGCACAGACAGGAAATCAAAGGAACACCATTAGTGTTACTGTCCTCAGGTTTGATAGCAGCAGCCATGATTGGTGAGGGACAGGTGGGAAATGACAAAGCCCAGTGGCAAGCTTGCTTATGCGGCTCAACATCCTGCAATGCTGGCTCTGAGGACTGAGTCGCACCATTCTTACTCTTTTCTTGATAATTACATCAAATTTTATCCACTAGAGGACTTTTCACTTCCTTTTCTCCATTTCTGAGGTCAAAGCAATGTCTAAACGACAACAAGTAACAGTCAAAACTATTGGATCTCCTTACATTAAAAAAATATCTGCTAGGTTTGATCATACTTTCCCTCAAAGTACTTTGCTGGCTCATTGGGAATATCTGAGAAGGTTCTTCAATCATTCAGAGCTGAACTACTTACTATGTCCTTGACACATTACAAGGCACTGTGAGGCTTTCAAGGTCACTGAAATGGCAGCTCTGTTCTAGAGCTGAACCAAGGTATGTTTGTTTTTACTAACCTAAGAACAAATTCCCTTTTAATTTACACCATTCTTCAACTTGCTTCAGTGACTTTACAGTAATACAGGTGAGGAGAAAGAGGAATAAGTTAAATTGATTGTTTTTTCCAAGAAAGAGAAGAACCAAAGATTGATTTGCAGAATTTTCTTCTTTGTAAAGAAAGTAGCAAGGAACTAATATCTTCAGAAACAATGAATCCTTCCCAACTAACTAAAATTGGTGTTGCAGTATTCAAGTATCATTCACAAGTCAGAGCTGCAAAGACACAGACTGAACTAACTTATTGAAAGAACAAAGCACAGAAGCAATATGCTGACCCATGAGTACATCTTATCTTTCTACTCATGTCGAAGATGAGCTGGATCCTTAACCAGCCTATATATCAGTGTTATATATCCACTTGAGCAGGGAGTTACAGTTACTGATAAAGAAATAAACTGATGATTGGCCCATACACAAACTCTAATCCCTTAACTGACTGATCTTCCTTAGGAACTAGCTGATATTCCATTGCTCCTCTGGGAAATTAAGTGGGGCACTGAAGCCCAAAGCCATTCAGAAAACACAACGTAAGTTCTCCATTCTGAGTAACTCTGCTCTTTACTCTGCTCAACCCGTAGTAAGAAATAAGAAGATACCAGAAGCTGATGCATTTGTGTTTTTGTTATTATTCTAGAAAAGGTTGGGTTGAATATGTGGATAGGCTATGTGAGAAAGAGGAGAGACAAAGATGGTTTATTGAGGAGAAAACAGCATGATACGAAAAAATACACAACAACCCTCTGTTTACACAGCTATTAAGATATTATAGGGATCAATAAGAACTAATGTAAAAAAGGTAATACGAGAGGAAGCAACCAGTGTAGGATAATGTACTTAGTGAAGCTGCTGTAGAAAACAACGACAGACATAGAATTAGAGCTGGATGGGAAAATGTACCTGTAGTTGTTCAGCTACAAAGGAAAAGGTCAACAATTTGGTAGATCAGTTTGGCAGAGGGTATAGGACAGACAGAAAGCATTTAACCAGAGTGCTTGGTAGACTCCATCACCCAAACTGAACAATACCTCTTACTATCATACGTACGATTCAGATAGCCAGAACTACTACTTAAGGTTGCAAGTGACTACCAGATACCCAGCACACTACCTGCTTTCCAGCTGGGCTTGATATCTGAGTAGAGTTTTATTGCTTAAACACATCTGCGTTGACATACCCTTTATCACCACAGTCTCTGAATCAGAGGCCATGGAGGACCCACCTGATGATACCTTCTCCTCCATTCTGTGTCCCGCCTATTTAAACTGAAAGCCACAGAGATAGTTCAGCTTCTTGTTCTTAATGCTCAGAATAAGGCTCTGATGCTGATTATGGGATCTGCACTCATTAATTATTAATGCATCAAGTGACACGATAGTAAAATATTAAAATACTAACACTCTCCATTTTTTTCTTCAGACATGCATGGGACGTTTGTCATTCTGATGCCTCTGAGCCTGATACTGATGATTTTTGGAGGAATGACTGGATTTATCAGTATTCTTGCCAGGGCATATCTACTGCTTCTAATGACTGGTCTGCTTTTTCTTTTTGGAGGTACTATATCAAACTCCTGGCTTAATGGATGTAAATAATAAGAGATTATATCTGGAAAACATCACTTTACCTTTTGGAGAAAAATGTTGAGCAAGACTTTGCTTTCAGAATAACACAGCTGTTCATTTTGTGTCTCTTCTGTCAGGACCTGACAGTTCATTTTCCTCTCGCCCTTCCCCCAAAACAATTTTGACTTGATTTGAGAGGCAGGGGAAGCCTTAATGGTAATCTACCCTGAGTAGATCAGAAGGAATGGCAAGGATGCCCAGAGAGTTATGTGAGGACTTTTACTTTCTGTAGCAAATTGTAACTGACCGAACGTGTTTTTCTTACCCAGCTCTGGTTACACTTACCGGGATTGGCGTCTACATTGCATATTCAGCTGCTGCCTTTGAAGAAGCTGTCTGCCTCCTGAGGAGTAAGGAAGTCCTGGTAGAAATCGACATCAGGTTTGGCTGGTCTCTGGCACTGGTCTGGATCTCTTTTGTCGCAGAAGTGATCACTGGGGCTGTGTTTCTCCTGGCAGCAAGAGTCGTCGGCCTGAAACGGCAGCGTGAGCAGGAGTTATGAACAGCAGGTATCACTGCAACAACAGAAAACTCTGAAATGTGGATTCCTTGGTTTGGTTTGGTCTGGTCACTAGGGAGAACAAAAATGGCAAGACTGGGACTGAGTAACTTGCCAGCTGCCATAAACTCCTCGATATTGTCTACAAAATACAAAGATTCTGATAAATCAGTAACATTCCTAGTGTTGTCAGCAAGAAAACCTTTGTGATTTTAGAAGAAATCATGCTGCACTATCAGTGTTTCTAAAACAATTTCAGCAGGCAGCTCATGCAGCATCAATACACGTTATTTAGAAATTTTTTGCTTTCTCTTCTTTCTGCTATCCCTGATTACCCTGCAGAACAGTCTGCATGGTCCACTTTGCTTTTGGTTTCCCTTCAGATACTCCTGATACGTATGCTAGTTAGCCTCTATCACATGTGACATATGATGCCTATATACCTGAAGCCAGGTAATGAGCATGGAGGCTACATGTATTCAATTAATACTGTACAGTTAATGTGGCTTTGTTGTTCAAAATAAAATCAAATGTAAAGGTCCAGAATAAGAACTTCACAGTATTTGGAGAAATTCAGATCATCTCCAGCACTACAGCATGGCTAGGACATCCAATCCATGTGCACCTTCCACATTCATAGGATCTTTCTGTTCTGTCTCCCTGAAGAGGCTATTCTCTCTCTTCTACCACTATCACACTATTTCTTTGTGACAACGCACAAAAATGTGACAGTTTGAGAGACTGGAGAACTCCAGAAGCCTACTTTATGCCAGCTATGTGTGTTGGCTAAGGAATCACAATCACAGAATTGTAGGGGTTGGAAGGGACCTCCAGAGATCATCGAGTCCAACCCCCCTGCCAAAGCAGGTAAAACACAGCTTCACGTTATTTATTCAAAAATCATTACTTAAAGGCTGAAAACAAAGAAATGAATCATTTTCTAAAACTGAGCTTTGGTGCTGTAAAAAATAATACAAAAAATGAAGGCCTAGAAACTGTGAATGACTTAACACTAGTTATCCTCCAGACAGCATTGACTATGGCTGTGAAGCTCTTAAGGGCAGTGAAATGGTGAGTGTTGTATTTCAAGAGAAAGCTATAGCTGCTTCTCTGGATGTTTTAAGAAAAGACTGCAGCCAGCCCACATCTGTCTGATGCTCCCATCACATAGATGCTACCCATCTCTTCCAGTTTTTTATCAGCTTTTTCTTCAATTCTGTAATGCAGAAGATGCAACTGATACATTTCCCAGTTGATACTTTGCAACCCTGACGCTTTAATTTCATAAAAGCAATAACACGTTTGTGCTAGAATGTGTTTAATTTGTGCTGGAAGCTGCTGAGTAAAACCAAGCACACGGGATGCCTGAACTTCATTTTAAGAACTAAGCAATCTGGATTTTCTTTATTATTTTTTTCATTCAAATGTTGGTAATAACATTGAAGAGAAAATTTACTCCAGTGCCCACTGCAGTTAGTGAAGAAGTTTTTCCTGACTGCTGTGGCCCGGGGTAAAGAGCTGAATGTACTCTCAGCTCCACTACAGATCCAGATCATGGTCAACTTCTGCATCTTATGGTTCAAGACTGTGACTCAGGAACTGCACCAGCTGGGCACACTTTCAGTGAGCAAGTTCCTTGTGCTTCCTTCAGGAGAGAAAGGGCATCACTTACTTCTGTTCAACACTGGGACAATGTTATCACGGCCTTTTGCTAAAAATTGAGCATCTGCGCTCTGATCCTAGTTCCATAGTACCAAGTTTCTTATGGAAAACGATGGCAGAGAGCTTCCAGCTTGCAGTCTTTGAATATAAAGGGTAGTGTTACTACAGTGCTCTGAATGGAGAACTGAGGCAGAAAAACTGCCAAGGTCCAATGAAACCAGAGCTTCTGATTCCCAATCTAAAACCTTGGTTGGCAGATTTTTTCTTATTATCAGAATGAAACAAGGTTAGAAATCCCAACCAGGCTGCGCAGCAGAAGCTCTGCTAATAGCCAGTACCACTTCTACTTCCCCATTTCTCTCACACTGATTTTCCATGACGCTTGTGCTGGCACTGTGTAATGGAGTCATTTCACAAGTTAAAGCTGACTAAATCAGCTCTATAAGAAGATTAAAGAAAAATCCTTCATAGTAAATATTCCACATGCTTAAATGAATTATGTAAGATGTAATTCTTCAATGTTTTGGTGCTGGTGAAGTTATTTAATGTAATATGACCGTGTAACGTCAGTCAGACATTAGTAAGCTGTAATAGTAACCTATCATCCCAGTTATTGGTGAATGTTTATCACAAAGGTTGTTTTACAGTGCTTTTGAATTGTGTAAAACTAAATAAAATGACATCTCTGAGCTAGGAAATATTTGAAAAGACGTGGAAGAACTAAGAAATAATTTTTAACTCCTTCTGCAGATCTATTTCATAGTTTACAAGATGCTTTTGACGTACCTGTGTTGCATGTGGTAGATATTTATAAGATACTTATGCAGCTACAATATACAATTCAACCTAATTAGAAAGCCAACGTATATGTTATTGAATTAAAGCAATTCTCATTTCCATGACATTCCTAGATTTCACATTCTGCCTTCCTGCAATATCTAGCATAATGGCAATAAAGAGTATTTTCTGCTCCTGAATTTTTCTTCAGTCCCTGAATTTCTCAGAAATTCCATACGAATATAAATAAAAGTATGGTTTTGAATAGTCAAATAAGCCTTAAACAAATTTAATTATGCTCAACAGATAAAACATTTTGGAAAGGACTGTACGTAATTCAACACAAGTGATCTCATCAAGCTTCTACTTAGAATGAAAGTGATGTTTGGCACACAGTTCTTCACTTATTTTCCCAGAATTCAGTACTGAGATGAGGAGACTGACTGCTTCCAGTACTGCAAACTCACAGGTATTTGGACATATTTAAAGTGAAGAAAAATAACACACTGAGCAAAGCAGAGCAGTAGTTTGAAGCAGTAGAGTGTACACAGCTACTGGCCAATACTGGCTTCTGATTTGAAGGCTAGCTCAAGGGATGGTAGAGAAGAAGAGAGGAAGTGACAGAAATTCTTGGAGGTAGGAAAATGTCACATAGTCAAGAGCTTCAGAGAAGATGCTGGTGAAACTAACACAGACATGCAACCACAGCCTGGGTCTGTTACTGAGCTGGATGCTGCAGAGCATCTTGGATGTCTCTGTGCCTGCTTCCATGACTTCCAAAGGGAGAATATCAGCTGAGACACAGCTTCAGTTCACATAGCTCCATCTGTTGATCACTGATCCAAAGCCTACAGTTCCAACTGACTTTGTTATTGTAGCAACTGGACAGATCAACATGATGGGAAAGGCATTACAACAAAGGTGTAATGACAGAAGGACTGGCATGACAGAAAGGTGCTATAAAGAAAAGGAAGAAAATTGCTCACCTATATCAGAAAATTATAGGAGGGCCCAGTCAGCCCTTAAATGAGGTCTAAGAGAGGTGCATCCAGGCTCCACTCCTTCCAGTCACACAGCTGAATTGTCTTCACCTGTGCTCCCACAGCTGACTGGCTCCTTTCCCCAGGTGCTCCATCAGTGGTTCAGGCCGTGACTCAACAGTTCCCATACAGTTACATTACACAAATAATTCATCATCTTTTTCTAAATCATGAGCCATGGCAGGCTGGAGACCTAGCAGGACAAGCTCTGTCCATGCCCTCCTGGTCAGCAAAGCCAGTCTGCCCAGAAGCCCTCCCTGAGGTGACCACAGCAAGGCTCGCAGTGTCTGCCCACCTCCTTAGACCCTGGACTCAGATTGCTTTCTGGTGGCTGCGAAGTACATTTATTCCTACTTTCTGTCAGGGTTGACTGAAGTTGTTAAGGAAAATTGGACCATGAAATCCCGAAGACATAGACTGTCCAAAGCTTGATTGGCATCTTGGGGTCTCAAGTAATCTTGGCCTCCAAATGACCTTCTTTTGCACTGTTCTGCAAATGAAAACCAATGATCTCAACTTATTAAAACCGAACTCATTGAAGACATAGGAGCCTACTTCAGAAATCTAATTTCCTTTTCTTTGATTCAGTTTGTAAACTTCTTAAAGTGAACCAGTTTGCAGTTTGCCAAGATTTTTTAGTCCTATCTGTCATTTCCATATTAACAGCCTATACTGGCCCAGCTCAGGACCAAAAAGGTCAGACTGAGCGCTCTGGCTTTGTGCTCCCTAGAATTAGCACAGCCATGCTCAGAGTGTCCCCTTTGCCTCAGCACTCCCGGTCTGCCCAGTGGCTGCAGCTTTGCAGCTCAGCAAATGCAAGCTCCACAGAGCTTGAATGCTCTGACTGAAGACTTTCTGTATTTCAGAACAGTGGTCTCTGCTGACATCTTGTGACAACACTGAGCAGTTGACTGAATTTGGAAATAATTAATTTCCATACAGACTACTCCTTGTATAGTTTGAAGAGCAGAGGGGACTACCATGCTCAGCCGACCGTAGCTCCTGTACTACACAGCCCACTGAATTTCACCTAGAAACTGCTGCTCCCAAGCCAGCAGCTCGCTGCCTTAGGATGCACCTCCCAGCTGATGGCCATCTGAAGTTAAAATGTCAGCCAGTGATAGGAAATGCACTGTTAACATTCTTGGTTAAAAAAAATAAAAATTCTCTAAACATATTAATGGTTTTTACTCTTAGATGAAAGATGTTACAGCTGTTCCCCAGATAGATTTTGTTTAGATGCAGCAGTACTGGTCTTAGATATTAGCTGTGGTGCAGGGTCAACTTTATAGACTTTTATGTTGGATGAATGCCATTTTGGGCTAGTTCCTCCATGAACAGCAGTTGGTTAACAGTCTGCAGATAGGTGGAATCAGGTGTTCAAGGGAAGGGAAGTGAAATGCAATGCCATGCATGTCTACTGTAACGAAAGCAGCACTGACAGATTGAAATTTCTGGTGATTTGTGACCTAGCTTCTCAAGCTATCATCTAAGGAAAAACATGTATGTGGTCTTAGAGGAACCTTTCAGGTTCCATTGCCATTGAGGACAAGGCATTGAAATTACTATGTGTAAAACTCATAACAGAATTATCATCAGTTAATGAGATCCTGTTCATCTGCCAAGTACACATACAACTATGTGTATTTATACTCTCAAGTCATCTCTTAACACTCCTGAGTATCAAAACACATTCCTTCAGCACACCTCCACTGCAGCCTGGTCCTACACCCATGGTGGTTTATATTAATGGATTAAATCCAGAGTCAATAACCAGAGAAGAGTCAAGAAATAGAGTCGTAGTTCTTTTGACAGTCTGCCTATACTGCTCACTGCAAAGCAAGCTGGAGGACTCCGTGCATGGGTTTGGAGGGATAACAGGCAGTTCTCTGAAGAGCTTTTGGCTCGTTGTTTTACTGCTTTCATTTTTGCCAAGGATAAGGCAAATACTTGTCATGGAAGGCTGGGACACTCCCGCTGTATTGCTCCCTAGGTGCTGAAGTGTATTTGTCTACCAATAGCCAAACAGCATTTACTGTTGGCTTATGTTTCTGGACAACACATCTGGCTGCTGGAGCAGCTAGCATATTTCTCCATCCAACCTGGCCTCCTCAAATATTCATAAGTTAATGTTGTCTGTAATGCCTGCAGCATACAGAGAGACTGAATTGAATTGCACTGTGGAGGAGTCTCTTCTACAGCCTTTCGGAGCTGGCTGCATCAGCACCGTGAAAACCCTGTGGCATCATAAACCTTTTATTGCCACAGCTCCCACTTGACTAGTATTATACAGTGAAGCATTTAATTATGCAAGAAACACATAAAAATAATTTTATAACTCTCAGGCAAAAATCCACAGAAGCAACAAACTTTGGAGGACTTGCAATAACAACTACCTGCCTTTCCATTTAGGAATCACAGCACATTACAGGCATGGCAACAACTGCAGCCATCTGACTGCAATGCTCTAACTCCTTCCTGTGGCAAACACCCCATACAACAGGACCTTGATTTGGGCCAGGGTACCTCTGAGAAAATGGTACATTTCTGCATAAGAAGGAACTGAGAGGTCCAGGCATATCTCAGTCAGCAAAGAAACCAAAATTACTTTAATACAACATGCAGCATAAAAATTTTCCCTCTCAAAACTCAGGAATAGTGCAATATTTCATGAAAACAAAAGAAGAGAGAAACAGTTGTCTCTCAGTCAGTAGAAATCAAAATGTTCATGAGCTTTTCTTTTAGAAAAGACTTCACCTACAGGATCACTTCATGCTCAGCTACTCACTGCTTAGGCTGCTACTGGAATTCATGCAAAAATCCGAGACGGGACTTATAATGGGAGCTCCATTTTGCTGAACTAACTGCAATTTTAAAAAGAGAAGCTCTATTTGCAGCATTCAGCCCCCGATCATGTATGCATGTCAGTCTGGAGGCACCCAGCAACAAGAGGGAGGAGCTGGACTGTCTGCCACTGACCTGCAGGCGTTGATGATATAACCAGTGGAAGGACCACCAAAACCTTATTGTATATGAGACTGTTCCGTGTGATTTCTGTGGCTTGCTACAGATGAACCCAATAGTTATTAAGAGATGTTAATAACCCAGCTGAATAGTAACAGGTTTTTTGAATGGGCTGACCAACAAAAACAGGCACTGCACAATGTCTTCACTGTCTTACTACAGGGAACGCTTGTCACATGAGTGCAACGATGCTACTGCTTCTTAGAAGTGGGATTTGTTATTGCCCTCAGCAATGGTTAGCCAGGAGGCTAACAGTGTGAGAAAAGAAACCTATTTCCAGGACATGTAGCCATCAGAAAAACGGAGCACCTGCTCCCAAGCCCCTCCAGGGCACCAATCTGCCCTTCAGAGTCTGCCTTGGGCTCACTTGCCTGCTCTTCTCTTTGCCAGAAGTCCTTTTCTCCTTTCTGGCAGCAACAGCCGTGTAGCAGATCCCAGGCAAAGCTCTGTCACCATAACAACTGGGTAGCTGTCCTATAATTCAAACTGCCCTCTCCAACTTCAAGGGCCTCTTCCTACACAGCCTAGAGCTCATCAATCCTTCCCTGAGCAATATTTCACTGGTGCAGTAACTCCCACAGCCACTCTTTCTAAAGCTGCCTCTCTGCCATTTTATTTCCAAAAAGCCTGAAGAACCGCGCACTCGCCCGCTGGGAAGAGAGCTGAATTTGGCACAGATGAGCCTCAGGTTTCCAGAGACCAGCTAACCTTCTGACTATCCCCCCTGCCTTGGGTTTGCCTGTACGAATGGCTGGCCAAAGGAGTTCAGAAAATGTTCCCACAGAGAGTGAGCCACTCACACAGCAAATCCCCTTGTAGCCCCTAATCCCTTTGGAATGTAGAGAACACGACCAGAAACGAAACTCTGGAGGCTCTTAGAAAGCAGCACGTACCTCCGAAATGACAACTGCATCCCCCAAAATCTTGCTCAGCCACAAATTAATTCCGTGACCTCTGGCTGCCTGACAGCCCTTTCTGTATTGCAGCATATCTAATGGCAGTGCTCCCACCTGACTGCATCCAGCTGAACAGACAATTTTACTAAACCTCTCCAAGATCTCATTTAGAGATCAAATAATTTTCATCAGATTTTCTTTCTTTATATGCAGAGATTTCAGCCTGCATTGTCAGCTGCAACCTGTACAACTAGTGCAAGTCAGTACAAATATTTTTTACTAACTTAGAAATCAGGTTAGGATGGGATCACCCTCTAAATAGCACTGTTACATGAGAAATGAAGATACAGTACAAATTCATGCTTGAAAACAGTTTTGTGATGCACACAATCACAACTTGGAATGTCACCAAATTCATTTCTGAACTGTTGTCACGTTCTGGCCACCCATCTAACCGGTCACAGAAATGCCATTTTACCAGCATAGCTCCTACATTGCTGTGCTTTGCCTGAGCAGCCACTGCACGTCACTGTTGTTCCATACAGAAGACTGAAGAGATTCGCTGAAGCGAGCAGGACTCAGGGAATCTTTGCATTTTCAATCAAGGGAAGAAAATGTCCTATAAACCAAGAGATGGAGCTGAGTGAAGTCGGGACAATTTCCTTTCCTCAGGACTGAAAGGAGGCCATAGCTATTGCTCCTTTGTGTTTTCATCTGCATGTGCAAAAGGACTTTCTCCATCTCCTTGGAGGTGTAAGATTACCATTAAGGAGGGACACAAAGATCCTGCCCTCCACAAGCCCCATGAATTGTGACAAATCGTGGAACCTCCTGGTACTTAGGAGACACTCAGGCATCTACGTAGAGCAATATGATGTGTACCCACTTAGATTTGGGGTGTTTCTTTCATTTAAGTCAAAGTGAAGTTTTGGAGAGGCATGCAGCAGTTGTAGAAATACAGAGCTTGAGAACTTGGTATGATTTTTAAGTCTAAAAAAGGCAGCTGCAAGCAGAGGTCTGAATGATGCCCTAGAAGCCTGATGTTCCTGAGGCAGCTTTGTGAACGCTTCTGTCAAGTCACAAACACAGACCAGCACTGCGCTTCCATCCCTAGTCATTAAAAATATTCCCAGTTCCTCAGATGACTTTTTTCCAAGTTTTTTGCAATTGCTGTGTTGTCTGGTTGTGATGGGAAATCTCAACTCCCTTTTCAGTATAGCTTCATACAAAACCATTTGGATGAGAAATGAAGCTGCCAACAAGGATAATTCCTGTAGAATGCAGAAAGGAAAAGGATAAAACTGAAAATAAAACAAAACATGAGAGATTTTGAGGGGAATTAACATTAGAAGAGCCAAATAAACTTAACAGAAAACAAGTAAGTAGGGCCCTTGGGGGGACCCTCTGTAGCACAGAACACAGTAAAATCAACACTTCCCTCTTTGTGGGCTTTCACACCATGCCATGCTTGCAGCCCACCAGGAATGGCTGTACTTGCCAAAATCTACTGCTGCAGCCCAACTTGGGTGCCACTGGCACATAAATTCATGTAAAAAACAGTGGCAATGGCCGTGTCTGGGATCATGAAGAAGCTGCACTCCAGCTGTAGGTGACATCATTGCACACTGGACCTGAATGCTGCTGGATGTCCTCTGTCATGAAAAGGAAGAAACTTCCAAAAAAAAAATTATCCTGCGGCCTCCAGCCATGATCTTAATCCTTTGAGAGACCTAAAATCAGGGCAGAATTCTTCATGCAGCACAAGAACAAGGAGGTTTTGTTTCTGAGGTTGCTAAACCAATGTTTATTTCATAAGCCCAGATCCACAAACATGAGAGGAGAAGAGATCATACTGCCAGAGGGAAGGAAACCCTTTCCTGAAGCAAACGACTGGGCTGTAACACTGCATCCTACTGAGACAGGGATGATTTATAAAAGAGAAAACATACACAGCTTGGTGATCAAAACAGTTGCCTCAAGATTGCTGAGCTGAGCGAAGAAGTGAAGGGACACAAAAGTGAATGAAAGTCCAGAACTGAAGGCAGAGGACTGAAAATATCTGTCCTTCTTCAGACTTTGTGAGAAAATGACGTTACCTTTGCCTGCAACTTCTGTTCTGCAGTTTGTGTGTTACCCCAGTGCTGCTAAGGGACGTGTCGCTTCAGATGCCTGCGTCTCTTCCTCCTGGTAGCACGCGTCGGTCAAGATGATCCCTGCTGCTGTACTGCCCGAAGTACACCGACCCACAGCTGTTTCCTCTCCTGCAAATAACAGATGAAAAACACCTATCTGAAGTGCTGGGCCAGATTCTCCTCCCAAGCAGAAGCCTTGGCAGAGACAGTGTGGTGCTGGGACAGCTGCTGCAGAATGCCCTGGTGCTGCCGGCCCCCAGGTCTGCCTGCCTGCCTGCAGGTTCCCTCCTGAGGCCGAGCGCTGCCTGCTTTGCTTGCTGGCCAGCTCACGGGGATATCATCCAAACAGAAATATCTGACTTCTACCAGACAAAAAATTTAGTGGGTACTTTGCTTTTTTAGCTGGGAAGCTTCGAACAGATTCACGTTGCTTGTGTGACTTTCCTGCTACAGAATGGCCGGAGCCAGAAAAGCCCAGCCTGGACACCATAAATTGCCTGATTAATTGTGAGATTTGCTTTTGTGTTGCTTACTAAATGAGCCCAAATGGAAACCTGAGGATTTGTTTGCAGATCCAGCTATCTAAAGCCCTTCAGCATACACGCTTGTAGGTCCAGACTCATATTATTTAGAGCTTTTGCTTGTTGTTTTAGGTTTAATGTGTTTGCTCTCTTGATGGCTCTGTCAATATATATTCTGAGCTGAAAAAGTTAAATGTCAATATATAAAAAAATGATGGGGCCAAAAATACCCATCCAGGGTTTGGAGATGGAAGGCAAATTGCAGGTTTGTCAATAGTGTGTTTGGGAGCATTTTAAGTAGTGAATCACTTGGTGTTAGCTATTGTAAATATTGGTTTAAAGGCGCTATAAAATAGATGGCGTGTAGTTAAACTTTCCTCCAGATCCCAATCTGTTTATGCTGCCTCTCTTAGTGCCAGATCCAAAGACCACTGAAGGTAAGAGGAGTCTTTACCAAGTCCTTAACAAGCATGGTGTAAGTTCACAACACGCACACAATCTCATGGTAGGGGCACAGTGCCATTTCTCATGGTCTCTGTGAAATTAGGTGTACAGTACTCCAGAACACACCTTTCATTTTTGTGTAATCATTGACAGCTGAGAAAAATGGCACAGAGTGATTGCATTCAAAGAAGAGCACCACTGAACACCACTCGATACCCTAACTGCACAGATTTGTGTGACAACGACAATGGGATCCAGCCCCCTTACAAATCACAGTGTGGGACATGGTGACGGGGGTCTGAATCCTGCGCACGCCTGGCCAGTGCCTTAAGGCCTACCTAAAAACATTCTTGAAGCATAAATGAGAATAAGGATTTTACAAAGGTAAATTAAGAGTTTTGCTATTGTCGACCTTAGTGGAACTGGACAGGTAGATTGGAAAACCAAATGAAAATCCATGCCTCAGTCATACAAACAAGTTCCTCATTCAGCCCAAGCCTTAAGACACTGAATTTTTGCCTGGAGTATTAGTATACTTCCTCCACATTGAGAAAGAAATTGATGAGAAAGAAAATCCAACAGAAAAGTTACTCAAGCTCATTTCCATTTCATGTAGCTGTCTATTGCAGTACATCTATTGCAGTTACCCCCATCTCTCTGTTTTTCCCCCATCTTTTCCCCAAAGAACGAAGAGAAAACAATTCTGCTGTGGGTAAGTCTGGAACCTGTCTGGTTCTTCACCTGTGGTTCCCATCACGAAGAAAACTGTGATTAAGGGTGACAAAGCCCTTAGGAGACTTGGAGGGTGAGATGGCAGCTGGAGAAGAAAATGACAGGCTTCCAGAATTATCTGCTCCCATAGAACAGGTGTCAGCAATCGCAGATAAGGCAATGCCTGAAAGTTTCAGTGCTCCAGGCGGCGCAGAGAGGGGAAGATGTGTTTGCAAAAGGGCATGTTCACTCAGTTATAGAGTGCATGTGTTGTGCTAAATGTCCTCAAATCCCTCTGGTAATGCAACTGTCTGTAACAATAAATAGCAAATCACTATTGTCTCCTCTGGGACTACAGCTATCATGCTTCCAAACAGGAGTCATCTTGCTCCCTGTTGAGGTGTCAGAGACCACATATTTGCTGTAAGTTCTAGGGAAAAACACTTAAATGTACATAACTTAGCCTGGAATCTCAGACTGTTTCTGTTTACACAATTTTAACACAATATAACACTTATAATCCCAAACACCTGATTCCTCCCAGTTATTCTAAATTTAAAAAGTCTGATAGGTAAGAAACGTTTGTGTGACGGGACTGAAAGATGTTCCCACTTGTTTGTGTTTTCATTCCCCTTTCTGCCTTCTTGTTTCCACGATCTTTAGAAAATCTCCCCCCAAGTAGAGATACAATTTAAAATCCTTCAGTGTGCAGTTTTTGTGATGGTAGAAATACAAGAACACGGGCAGACCAGCTGAGAAGCGAAAAATCAGACACTTTATGTATGTACATAATCTTTTAAGGGTAAACAGTGGCTCACCTACTTTGTTTTGAAATACTCGCGCCTCTCTCTGGAAATGAGAACATCTAATGATAGTAAAGGGTTTTATAAGCCAAGCTGAGACACTTAGTGCCTTGAAAGTATTCTACAAACAGGAGCATAGCTGCTCCTTATGACTCACCTGTAAGGTAGCTATCCTTAGGGCTCATGTTCAGATGGCATCCAGCGAAATTAAGAAACTCAAATAAGTAACACCAGTTTAATTGACCAGTAGGGAATAAAACAGAACAACGACCAGTTAATAACAGGTGTTACTTCAGCTCGCTGCCTGAAATGATCTGAACACAAACACCTGCAAAAAAGCCAAGACCACACTTCACTGCAGGATACACAGAACACCCCACAGAAAAACACAAGTAGTACACGGGCTATAAAGAATGCGGAGGTTTTCTGAGCTGGTCACAGATCTCAAATCATTACCAAAATAAAATAGAAGAATCGGGAACTCTCCAGAAGCTCACATTGACCCATGCCATCAGTCCCACGTAACCCATTCCCTGTTATCTGACAGCTTTTTCCACGAGTAAACTGTGCCTCTGCCCCAGACCTGGGAACAGAACTCAGAAATGTGGGTGCCCTCTACCTGCTGTGTTTCCCAAACAGACTTTCAAACCCTTCAAAGGCTGCAAAACTGGAGTGGTAACACACTGATTGCCATGAAGCAGACTTTTAGAAAAGCAACCCTGTTAGATTTGTTGCCAGTAAGGAACGTATTACTGATCATAGAGCAATGGCACACCATCAGGGGTCCTCAGGAAGCTTGTTACATGCAGAGCTAAAAGCTGAATTCTGCAGTAAGTTTGGTGAAGGACAAAACTCCATGTTCTCACTTTCTTTCACGAAAATTACACACTACTGTTAGGAAGCAGCTAATCTCTATGATGCATGGTGCCCAACTTACTTTTCCCCTCTTCACTCAGAAGTTCCAGTGCAAGTTAACCAGCACGTTTTAAACACTGCCTTATGAGGAGCCCTTTGTGGGCTCACAGCTCACAGCTGCTTTGCAGAGCTACTGCAGCATCTCAGAGAACTTCTGACACTGGCATCTTCCGTCTTGTCTCTGTAAATATATATTTACTTTTTCATCTTTATATGTCATGTTCAGCTGCACACAGAATCAATACTCCCTTCAACTGCTTCCATGCCTGTGTTGCTTTTTTGTCAGGAAATTCAGTGTTTCTTATGTCTGCTGCCCCTAGATCTGCTGTCCCCTTGTTCTCTCTCTCCAGACTTTTGCTTTCTCTTACCACAGCCCTGTTCTAGCTGTATTAGATAGCTCCTGTCAGCTTTATCTTCATGTACTGCATGCCATGTACTAGGAGGACCGCATATTTCTCAGAGCCAGCTGTCTTGCTATTAAGAACTGTTTTCTCCAAGATCACCATGTGCACATGGATCCACTTCTGCTTCTTTCAAGCTCTTTCCTTCTGAATTTTGTTCTCCTTTCTCAAGTTCCTTCACAGGTCCCTGTCTCATTCCAATTTATAGGAGGGAGATGAGGTTCTTTTAATATCTATATACCTGGCGTGAGATTAAGAAACAACGGCTCACATGTTGGTCCAACCAGTTTATTATAAATCCTAACTGGGGAAATGAGGAAGGGAAGGAGGGCGATAGAAAAGATAGGAAATAAGCAAGAATTGCATAAAACGGGGATAGTCAGCACCAGGACCCAGCAGCATCCTGCTGCACGGCGCTTCGAAGGTCTGAGGCAGAAGTGGGGGGAAGCAGCAGTGTGGCCGGCCTTGGGCAGCAAGCAGGTAGCAGGAGGCAGTCGCAGAGCCAACCCGGGAGGAAGCAGCAAAGTTTCAGGTAGCAGGCCCAGGAGAGTCTGTCAGCATGCGGGAATTCCGTAGTGAGGAATCTGATGGCAGACACCTCTGTTCTTCTTCAGCATCGTGGTAGAGCGTAGAGCAAGTCCAGGAGGGAGAGAGGCAGGTCAAGAGGCTTCTCATGGCAGAAACCTCTGTTCTTCTTCATAAGGAATCTGTTGCCAGAAAACCTAAACCTCATGACTGTAGGTCCCCATTTTATCCTTCTTTTTCTGCCTATGTGACATTCCTAGGTGCTTGAGCAAGAGTCATGCGAGTATCCCCTGAGATGGCCACCTTCCTTGAGATAAGTCCACACAAAAGATGGCTTCACAGCAGCTTATCTCTCTCTTGTTGCCCCTGGCCTTGTCCACCTGTATTCCCAGCAAACTTTGAGACAATTATTCTGTTACATCATATCTTACAGTCCCCACGTGTAGACCCACTGAAAAGGCTTCTGAGCAGGGCTGTGCTCTCTTGTAGGATTCAGGGAGCAGCAGGAGGCACAGGGAACACAGACTACATCCAGACTTTTTTTTTTTGTGACCACGTAGGCTGTCAAATCTTCTCAGGCTTCTGAAAACTTCTCATTTACAAGGGGTGGACTGAGAGGCTGAGCAGGGGTATTAGCACAGTCAGTGCCATTATAGAACATGACATCTGTCTTTCCCTCCCATGTCCTCCTTGCCTTCCCGCTGATCACTCCAAACCTCCACAGAATCAGTCTATTTTCAGCTTTTTCCAGTACTTTAGCACATACCTTCCACCTCCTTCCCTGTTCCCACACCAGTCTCTTTTCTTCA